TTCATATGTGTTTAGCTCTTTAAAAATTGCTGTTAGTGCCAGCTCGACTGTGAATTGTTAACTTAACAATAATTATGTATGGATATCTATTCAACGAAACTCTGTGACCCAATGACACAAGCAAAACCAAATGGTATCGAGATGTCAACATACAGAAATTTGAAGTATTCGATAATGCTTCTATAGGGATAAAGTCCCATCCATATTTGCCCCAAAAAATAACAGTCAAAATGGAGCAATAATATGGTCAATTAACTATACATGACTGATTGAAAACAATTCTACCAAGTATGGCAGCCATCAGGCCAATAATGGTGATGAAGGAGCAGCACTAACAATTTGTCATTCTACCACAACAAGTAGAAAACTGATCTCGTAAGTCCAATAATCCCAGCAAAACTCTTAGAAAAAAAGCGTTCACAGAAATGCTACAATAGACTAATATGGTCAAAGTCCAATACCTTTAACAAAAGGACCAATTTTATGTCAGCTTTTATAAAAATCGTATAACCATCTGCAATGTCACAAATGTTACCCCGGCCGCATTTTACAACTTGGGCCGTTTTCAAGCATATGACTCTTATGAAGCTGACTTAAAAGACCATGATGATTGCTTTGTCCGTGACTTTAAATTTACAGGTTACAAAAAAAAACTAAGGACTTCTGAATGTTTTAAAAATATTTTACAGTCGTAATGTATCAGCATCCTATCTGAAGTCATACTTGTGTTTCTAGTAAAATATATATCCCACTTATATACATCCACTTCATTTTGAACTTTGGTGGATAGTTGTCTCATTAGCAATCATACCAAAATTTCAAACAAGCGATACATATTTCTCGGTTTCAACAATTCAATTTTAAGGAATATACCTCTGGTATCTCTGGTAGGGGGAATTAGCGTAAAACTGTAAAGTATTATTACATATGCTGACGATGTCTGATTTATCGTCAAAAGTAAATATAAAAAAAACGACTTCTTTTTCCTTTTTAACCTTTTGATTAGATCGCCAATGATGAGTCTTTTATAGACGGAACGCGCGTCTTGCGTACAGAATTATAAGCCTGGTATCTTTGACGATCTTTATTTTTACTGTGAACATATCTCAGAACACGTACATCGGATATCACATTTTCTTTCTTCTAGTTAGTAGTCATGTTGGTAGCTGAACCAGTCAAATAAAAACTAGTCGTACCCCAGCACGTTTGTGCCTGTACATGTTATAGAAAACAAAGAATATTGGATATCTATCCATGACACAAAATCAGTACATGTACAACAACAAAACAGAAAAACGCAAAGGAACAGCTCTTTTATAACTGTTCTTCATCTCAAAGTCACAGTGAGGCCTTCATCACGGTTCAAAAAACTCTCATCTCATTGCAAGTTTAAGACGGCCCTTAGCACTGGTTTGAGCGGAATTCTTTCCAAAACAATTAAGATAGATCGACTTTGTAGACGATATGTATTGTTTGTTCGAGAGGAGTCAGTTGTATGTTGTTGGTATGTGTGGTCAGTTGTACGTTGTTGGTATGTGTGGTCTGTTGTACGTTGTTGGTATGTGTGGTCTGTTGTACGTTGTTGGTATGTGTGGTCTGTTGTACGTTGTTGGTATGTGTGGTCAGTTGTACGTTGTTGGTATGTGTGGTCAGTTGTACGTTGTTGGTATGTGTGGTCTGTGGTACGTTGTTGGTATGTGTGGTCTGTGGTACGTTGTTGGTATGTGTGGTCTGTGGTATGTTGTTGGTATGTGTGGTCTGTGGTACGTTGTTGGTATGTGTGGTCAGTTGTACGTTGTTGGTATGTGTGGTCTGTGGTACGTTGTTGGTATGTGTGGTCAGTTGTACGTTGTTGGTATGTGTGGTCAGTTGTACGTTGTTGGTATGTGTGGTCAGTGGTACGTTGTTGGTATGTGTGGTCTGTTGTACGTTGTTGGTATGTGTGGTCTGTTGTACTCTTCAATATTTATGGTAATTCCTGTTATTCTTTGTATGCATTATTGTTATGTAGTTCGGTTGAATTCGGTTCGAGGTCGGGCTATTCCAGGTTATTAGGGTGTAATGTCGGACCCGTATTTTGCCTTTGTTGATGTAGGATGATTTGAGAATAAAGATGTGCAGTTTATTTTAGTTTTGACTTGTCTTGTTAGTCCCCTTCCAAGGCAAGATCATACCATTATTGTCCAATACAACAGATTTATTTAGCACGGACTCAGAACCAAATTATAATACAGTACAGGTTACGTTTTTTTTGTGAAATAATCAGTCTATTGCGTAATACTCTTGAATGGGAATAGAAGTATTATAATATCCATTGTGCAAGATACCAATTAATTTTTTTAAACCGATATCAAAATTTTTGACGGGTAAATTGATCAATCACATCATATATTTCAGTAAATATTTAAGCTTTCCTACATGTACTGGTAATTTAATTTAGCATTGAACATTGATTTGGCTTGCAGTCAATCAATATAATTGTGTTCAATCTATTTTGTTATGTAAATGTGATCCGTGGCAGCTAATTATCAGACGTAACATTCGTTTTTTTGCCATGCCGGCGTTGTCTGTTTCTCTTCGACTTAGTTTTGAATGTCCCCATGGTATCTTCCGCCCCCCCCCCCCCCCTATTTTTCCAAGGTAAAATGTGTCTCTTCAATAGAGCTTTATTGCTTACTAATCATTGCAAGTGAATCAGCAAAATATATAAAATGACACTCCATGCTTATATATTTGTTGTTTTCAAATACTAGTATTCAATACATATTTAGATAAATATTGTTCAAAACATGAATTGTAAACATCACAAGAAGGAAACACGAATTTAAAGTTTAAAAGTTTGATTACAAAAGAAATGCATGTCAAAATCAGCCTTGCATATCATGTGGAGCAGAATCTGCTTACCCTTCCGGAGCACCTGAGATCACCCCCCAGTATTTGGTGGGGTTCGTGTTGCTCAGTCTTTAGTTTTCTATGTTGTGTTTTGTGTACTGTTGTTTGTCTATTGGTCTTTTTCTTTTTTAGCCATGGCGTTGTCTGTTTATTTGCAACATATGAGTTTGAATGTCCCTCTGTTATCTTTCGCCCCTCTTCTACAGTTGTCCTTTTATAAACAACATGCAACGAAACAGTATAAACTGGGTAATTTATTGAACTGAATGTGCATCAATATAAAAATAGGGAGATGTGGTATGACTGCTATTGAGACAACTATCCACCAGATTTCAAATAACGAAGATATAAGCAATTTCATGCCACCGTTCGGACTTAAACAATGAGAAAAACCCAAACACATGACAAATGTGAAATTAACAACTACAAAAAATAAAACGTACGGCTTAATTCGTCATCTGGTCATGTTCATAACAATACAATTTACAAAAAAAAAAAATAAAAAATAAAAAATACATGTATGTCAGAAATAAACCAACGACAATCACTGAATTACAGGCTTCTGACATGGGACAAGAACATGAAGATAGTGGCGGGATTAAACATGTTTGTATGCGCTTAACCCTCCACTATGTGACAGTGGTGTAACAACACAACATAAGAAGAAACTATGAAAATCAGTGGTAAATGGCTTAACTCAACAGATCGGTGCGAAGCAAAAAAAAAAACAACAACAAAAAAACACATGTAGCATAAGACTAGGTCACACATTCACGGATTTGACGCCGGATTAGCTTCGGATGCGATCCGACATCATTCGTGGCAAGATCTGTATTGGTCCGTAGTCATACGTAGTAGTACTTGTATATCTGGGACAATTTTTGAACATGCGCAAAATTTGACCAAGGATCAAACAACCGTAGTATATTACTAAACCGTATTTGAACGTACTGATCCATTTTAGTCCTTATTAAAACCGTATTAATCCGTTCTTATTCGTATGCCCGAAGTATTTCTACGGTCTGTTTCGGAGAACTACGTACTAGTACGGTTGCACCACGTATTTGTTAAGGATACACTACGATCGGATACGAATTTGTCACGGAAAGGCACGATTTCATAACGTTGCAATACGGATAGGTAGGGATCACCAAGGGTTCTACAAAATACGGAATATTACTGCCCACGACAAACTGGCATCAGGCTTCTGTATAAATAACTTACTTATAGGGCCCCTAGTCTGTGTCTTGCCGTAGAGGTATACATAACATTATCAAACATGAACAATCAACAACTGATGCTTGCAATTAATTGACTGGAATTAGATATTGATATGGCAAAAAATGCAAGGACAGTGGTCGAGCTACTTGACGACAGACGTAGATGTGACCGGCGGCAGAGGAGATGGTGGACTAGGGACTGGCTTCTCCGAAGACTTATCCATGGCCAGTATTAGACCCTCATGGCTGAACTGTGTGCGGAAAATTCAGCTGCATTTAAGAACTTTAAAAGAATAGACCCAAATATGATCCAAGAACTGCTAAATGCCGTTGGTCTGACGATTACGAATAAAACCACCTAGTACAGACAGAGCGATAACTGATTTAATAAAACAAAACAAAAAACAAAAACATCGATTAACTGCCATAAAGAAAATAGAAATGATTGACGGCTTAGAAAAAGTGGTGATTCGTACTATTCTGTATCGGACCGTTCTTACTCGTACTAACTCTTACTTATACCGTAGCAAACCGCTGTTTATCCGCAGTACATACGCCCCGACACGTGCCGTTACGTATTAAACCGTGTCATTTCCGTATTAAATCGTGTCGTACCGTACGAATCCGTATTAAATCGTGTCGTACCGTACGAATCCGTATGAGTCATGTCGCCAAATGACCCCTTTCCTACTTCACCCGTAGTAAATACGTGAAAGCCCGTAGTCATACCGTTGTGCATCCGTATCGGATCCGTAACAGACTACAGAAACTGCAATTCCGGGATCATCCGTGAGATTTAATCCGTAGTTGAACCGGCGAGGTGATCCATGAATGTGTGAATTAGGCATAAAACATGTACAATTGACATATAGGAACCGATATGAGCGTACAAAAGTCGATTCTGTTAGTATTGGGTAACAGTGTGATGTTCCATTCAGTATTCATCTATATTTGTAACATCTTCGGTCAATGATGGAAGACTGTTTCGAAATCATTCTTGCATGCATCATGCATCGCAAACAGCACACATCTAATGGCATTCATTGTCCTTTTGTGCAGATTGTTTTTCATTTTTTGTAGAAATGATATTGATGTCTAGAAAGTCTATTTTTGAAACTCTCTGAAAAATCAACAAGAAAAAACGCTTGTTATATATTCTAGCATAGTACGTAGAAGTGTGCATGAAAATTTAAACTTAGAAATAGGTGCTTTAACACGGAAAGCATATATACATGTATATGTGTATGTTATATTTGTTTATGTACTAAAATTATCTGTTATTACAAACGTAATTATTTCCACTTTCCAATTGTCAAAAACTTCCAATTTATCAGAAGTAACATACCCCCCCCCCCCCCCCTTTGTATTGGATTAACATTTCTTAATCAATACGTTACTACTGTGGATGTTCATAATATATTTACGAACTTATCAAGATGGTGTGCTCCATACCAGGGTTTCTGCTGACAGAGTTATGAGGAAGCATGACGTACTGCGTTGACACTACATATTTTCGGTCAACATCACCATATGGTTGAACCATACGATGTACATGTGTTTGTCAACTCACTACTTCATTTTCTCGCGGTATTATATCTTTAGATCACTCTAATAGCCATTTGATCAGTAATTTTATCGATTTTGTCCTATTCTCGATTGTAACAATTTGACTGAGTGTGAATTCGCATGGCGGGTGATCCACGCATAGCAGGAGACGCTTACCGTGTCGACACACCCGGTCTCGCAACTTTTGGAGTTTATACAATACTCTGAATTTGCTTTATTTTTAAACCATTTAACTTCAAGGGGGTTGTTGGTTTTTATGTCAGAGTCAGAATTTTTTTTCGCGCAAAGTACGAACATTTTTATTTCAGTTTTTCGACGCTATCAATCAAATTTTTTTTTCCAAAATTTAACACTATAAGGTATGGGAGAAATCTGGATTCAGAATTTTTTTTTTTTTTTTTTTTTGTCATCTGCTTGACTACAATATTTTTTTCATCAAATTGGGGATCAGAATATTTTTTTAGGAAAAAAACATACCCCCCTCCCCTATAAAGACCCACTCACTGCTTTGTCTGTTCCATTATTGCGGGAGTGTTTCATCTGTGATTTTGTTATTTTGCTGTTGTGATAGATATAATTACATCTTTTGAAGTTCTAGCATTGAAAATTAGTTCAAATAGCAAAAATCAAAGGTATTGATTGTGAATTCGGAAAGAAAAAAAAATCAATATTAATGTGCTGCAATACAAAAAATATCCGATAACAACATTTAAAATCTTAAAATAGAATAATAGGCCATGTCTTATGGTGTTGTAAAGCATAAATAATATAAGGCGTGCAAAGTTATACCTCGGATATATGATATACATATCGTACCTGTTTTTCAGCAGTCTGTCGTCTGTAATTAGCACCTATTAACGCTATAAAGAGAAAAAATGAAGTGTTTGTATACATATAAAAAGTAGTGTTATAAAATAAGGGATTCCATTAGCAGGAATTTAATTTATTTTAAATATTTCATATAACGCCTATAAAATCAATATCATTTATTAATTATTGGCTTTTATATATGAAATCATTTCGTCCGAGTTTTGTGAATTCAATTTGAAATTGATCTAATTGATATTATTTAAACTTTTTTTTTTAAATACATGTGAAATGTTTATTTATTTTATTTTCTGCGTGAAATTCCGACAACAAATATACTATGGCAACTAAAGTGATCGTGTTCGCATTCCTGTTTTTGTTATCTGTGATACATGTGTACCGATATTAGAGACATACTAGTATGTGCTTTCGCTGAAGTGAAGTTTACTCTGATATGTCAAGTAACCTTGTTGTTCTTCTGAATGAGACACATGAACGGATTTAAGTTCCTTCAAATTCGTCGGATATTTGAATGTATGTCCCAACAAAAAACATCTTTGCTTTGATTATTTCTTAATTTCTTTACGTCTTTTATATTTAAAAGTATTGTTGTTAATGACATAACTTTTGTAAGACTTATTCACAACTTGTCTTAACTAGGACAATTTCAAGCTTGACGTATTGTACAGTAATCTGTTCTGGCTTTATTGTGTTGTTAAATTGCTGTGCTATCAAACTGAAATAACGCTTCATAGATCTGGTGTACAATAATCTGTTCTGGCTTTATTGTGTTGTTGAATTGCTGTGTTATGAAACTGAAATAACGCTTCATAGATCTGGTGCGTCCCAAACTCGATGCAATTGTTTTTTAATTAACCTTCGTGAGGAACGCCCAAACCCCAAAAAAATTAAACCCTGTGGCACGTGATCAAATTAATACGTCAGGAGATATTTGACCAAAACGGACCTTAAAAGAATAACCAAATCCACCAAAGGTCAACATTGCCTTTTTATAATTCGTAGCCTTCCACTGAAATTTTAAGAAAGTTATGCTAAAATCAATATCAGTACCGAAGCATTAATAATTGGGCTGATGATAGCGTAGGGGACTAGCTGTCCGCTACCAGCAATATGATCGACCCAATCCTTTTTTTTTAATTAAAAATTAAACTACCAGGAAAATACTATTGCTGCGTCCGAAGCGCTTTTCTGAATTTTCCGTAATCACGAACCATCAAACAAAAAAAATTGAAAGCAAAGGATGTATATATAAATACTTAAATACTTTATGGATTATATGACAACACGGGGTCTACATATGTAGTTGGAATAGCATATCCATCTAAGTTCAATTTTGCCCGAGGAGTCGGAACCTTAGCTTATGAATCATTGATAATTTTTCAACTGAAAATTTAAGAATTGTATTCTGTAAATAATTTCAGTACCGAAGCATTGACTACTGAGCTGATTATATATGCTGAGACTAGCAGTCCACTAGCAGCTGTATCGACTCAATGCCGAAAAATGAAAATTACACTTGATAAAACTGGTGCGTCTGAAGCACTTTTCTGGATCTTCGTTTTTCAGGAACGCTCTAGACTTACCGAAAAATTTAAAAACAGAGGATGTACAAATACTCAAATACGTGAGGATTGTATGACCAACAGGGAACTAACAAGAAAAGCAAATGTCATCCATGAATAATTACATTACATGTATGTTTCATTATAATACGTTATTTTGATTGGCTAACAGCAATTTCGCCTCATTCTGAAATTAAACTTCATTTCAAAATGAAATGTAACATTCATTTATTCCGCAATAAAGTGCACAGGTAAATAAAGGAAAAACTTGATAGAAATCGTGTTTTCATGATCCTAGCAAAAAAAATGTAATTATAAGTATTGAATGCTTCTTTTAGTAATTTATAGGGTTGTAAAAGCGTTGACCGTGCGCACATTTTTAGAATGAAGAGCTTCCGCGCTTCATACAAAATGTACTTCGGTCAACGCTTTTACTCCCCAATAAATTTACAAAAAGAAGCCTTCAATTCTTAAATGTTAACTTTACCTGAAGGAACTTTAATTTCAAATTAATTTCTAAATTTTCAACAACGAATTTAGAAAAAAGAATATGTTAAGGTGGTACCAAACACCTGGACTAAAATTAATTTGGCTCGTTTAATTTTCATAAAATTTTGACAAAATATTTACTTTGACCCTTTGACAAAAATATGAAAATTTCAAAAAACTTGAACCACACACTTTATCGGAAAAAATTCATTGGATATATAGCAGTTTGATAAACACAAATTTTGATAATTGAGAAGCTTAATATTTCCTTAACAATAGAACGTGAGTAAAACGTTCAGCTGATTTTTACAGAGTTATCTCCCTGTAGTGTTATGTACCACCTTAAATGTAACAAATTATGTAAATCATGTCAGTAACGAAACAATGACTACTGAGCTGATGATACCATCGGGGACTACCAGTCCACTAGCAGCGGTATCGACAAAGTGCTAGAAAAATGAAAATAACACTTAATAACTTGTCTGTTACTTTAATCATCTTTATCACAGTACTTACCCGTTAAAATGGTTCCAAGAAGAAGGAATGAGCTGAGTGTAATATTAGCACCAAAAATGCTGACTTCATTTATCATTGCACGCATGCTTATAGTGAAAATGATTCCGAATAGCTGAAACAAGAAAATTATTTCGGACAGTAATTCATGGTTATATTGACTTGAGTTTTATTCATTGTTGAAGGCCAATACGATAACCTGTTTGTATCCTTGTACTTTCGATGACAAGTTGTCTTATTGGCAATCTAATCACATTTCTTTTTTATATTAACTTCATTGCCTGTGAAAAGGGAAAAATCAAGTGATGTGTTTTCATGCCGTGTTAGCAGTAACCAGTACCGAGTGTAACGGTGATTGTCGTGGCAATACCGAAAATATTTTATAAACTGAGGGAATCTAGTGCTGTTTTAGAGAACAAAACGTTGTTAGTTATAGATTATTTGATTCATTCATTAATTCGTCAATCTATAAAAAATTGTTTCACTGATGTTATCATGGAGAAACGTTTATTCTTGCATACTTTAGATTCTTGAATTTTGTATTAAAAATTAATTTACGAGTTTTGAAAATCAGTTTATTCCATACTGGTATTATTTTAGTAGCTTTCCCTATATATATGAATTGAATTTTGAATAAAACAGCATATTCACAGCGCTAAACATCACGCGCTTTTACATGTAACGTTATGATAAAATGTTTGATGTACAATTGGGTTTGGTTAATATTTGTCATTAAATACATTGTTTTCTCTCGAAATATGGAATACAACAAGTACTGTCTTTTGTTTCGGTAAATATGTGGTTTAATTTACTTTTGAAAACTGATATTCACTTCGGCCTTCGGCCTTAGTGAAAATCAGTTTTTTCAAAAGTCAATACAACCGCATATTTACCTCATCAAAAGACAGTAATTGTATAATATTACTGGTCTATTGCCCTCTTACTATTCAAAAGACGTTATCAGTCATTCAGGGAAATACTTCTGAACATATTACCTGTGCTGATGCGTTCAAGAGACCAGATGAAGTACCCTCTGATTCTGGATAGGTAATTTCTGCAGCAATTTCAAACCCTACAGGCAAGTAACCGGTCATGAAAAATCTACGTAGATGGAAAAAGTATATAGAAAGGAAGTTTTCGAGTCATAATACATACAACTGCATACTATGCTAAAAATTATCAACTTAATGATAGTGTGTACTAAATATAAACTGAATAAATGACTATAGAGGTAAAAAGAAAATTGTAAATTCAATGATTTTTTTTTCAATAGGTGTACGTGTATTTGGTAATATGTTCTCTGAGTGATCTTGTGGGAGAAAAGTCATCTATTTTTTATTTAGGTCGCTACTTTTGTTTCAAAACTACAACAGCAATGTCTCACGATAGTTTCTGTCATTTTCCAGCTGTGCAATATAATAAATGCGAAATATCATCACAAACATTCGATTATGCTTTTAAACATGCAGTTTGCTTTGTGTAAGCAAATATGATTTTATACCAATTTGCAGTGGCATTTCAAGTAATAGGTAAAATGTTTAAAAACTCAAAATCTTTTTGCAAATATTGCAGTTTTGTTCACTGATGTTAAAAAGGGGATTGGAAAGCAAAACATAAGGCAACTTATATCTATACATAAACAGGTAATATATACTAAAAGTTCTTTAAGGTAATTATCACTGTCTTAGTCTTTGCCTCGATATCAAAGATCAATAAATTGATGATATATGATGACATTTTTTTTTCAACCATAAAATAATATTACAACTCATTTAAACGAGGTGATGAGTCATTTCCAGTGAAATATAGTAAATAAAAATTGCGATATATCATCACACACATTCGATTATGCTTTTAAACATGCAGTTTGCTTCGTGTAAGCAAATATGCTTTTATACCAATTTGCAGTTTCGTTTTTAAATTCATCAAGAAATGTAACATCTCAATATTTATTTTTTTTCGGGTGGTATCGTGACTCTTTTTTTGAAATTGGAATAAGTAACAAGTTGAAAATACGTACCCTAAAATCCCGGCACATAGATATACTACCCAAAGTAAGTTTAAATTCAATGTGAAAGTAAATGCCACCATACCAGCTAACGACAGCAAATATATACCAACGGTTGTTCCCCTGCGATAATCAGAAAAAGAAGTAAAATTATTTTATCAGTTATCTCAAGTCTACCTTGTTACATGTTTTATATATATGAAATAAATGAGATGTACGGCGGTACGTCAATGAGTCATCAAGCCAACAAAACAAGTTTGCTACACACAGTTTTTAAAATACTATTCTACTGTTTCCTCGTCTGATTGTAAAATGTTATTTTTTTTCTATATTTTTTTAATGATGTGAATTATCCCCAAATACCCAATCTGATTATGATATAGATCCTGTGCCTACGCTTCGGTTACAATGATCTGACAATGTTCCGTTCTACTTCTTAAAGAACTTTCGGTATCCCCTTATTGATGTGATCCACACCTTCAAAAATGTGTAGGCAGCTAAGGCAGCAATTTCATTGGATGATGAAATAATTACCTGAACAGAAAGTAGAACGGAGTGTTGTCATATCCTTGTTAGCGATGCTTTGACCCTTGATCTGTATTCTAATCAATTTGACAATATTCTCCAAGATGAAATTCTTACTTGAATGTTTTAGTTTTATCAAGCCATACTCCAGCCAGTATAGCTCCTACTATTCCAGCAATAACCACTGTCAATCCTATTTCTCCAGCTTCTTTTTGATGACCCTAAATATTTATAACAGTGGAGAATACACATTGACTTTTTTTTGATAACCAATATTTGAACGCCAGTATTCACATATTCGAGTTCGTACACAATTGCAGAAAATGTAACGTTTTCAAGTTTCAAGCATAACAAGAACAATACAGGATTTGTAACTGCGTTGCATCAATTGAGGTAACATTTGTACAGAGGCATAACTGACGAAGCTGATTTCCAAAACTATGTTCAATTGGACTTGAATAAAGTACTTTTTTCGTTGATGTAATGTTAAGGGATTAAAATGCTACAAGCTACAACTCAACATTATCAAGTTCCAGACCAAATATAAATTGTCCTCTTCCATTGAACCCATGAAAACTTTGACAAAAATTGTCCTTGAACAATGCGTATTAGTATTGTAAAATCTCTAACTTGAAGCAAACAGCAAGTGGATGCACGGTAGATGTAAATATTGCATTCACGCTACAACTCAACATTATCAAGCTTCAGGCCAAATATAAAATTATTCGCTCACCTAGAAGCAAAGAAAAAAATTTCAGTGAAAAATTAATGCTAAACAAATTTCAAACTATCGACAAACCGTAAGTAGTTGCACGGTAGATCTAAAAATTACTTAAACGCTACAATACAACGTTACTAAGCTGCAGACAAAATTTAAAACCATATTCCCTTTCATAGAAGCCATGAAAACATTGACGAAAGTGTTCTACCCAAAGTTTTTTGGACGGACAGACGGACGGACGGAATGACGGAATGACTGATAGAGTCGATCGGTTATTGGACCTGCCTTCATCGTTGGCGACGCAGGTAGAAATAAAGACATGTAATGTGATGGCCAAAGACGCACTACCCACCGGTAACCAAAGGAAGATCTAATTAACAATCATAGATGATCATACGACCTTCAAGAATGAGCAAAACCCATTCCATATAGTTACATATCAAGGCCCCAGCATTTACAAAAATATGACACCATTCAAAAGAGAAGACTAACGGTCTGATTTATGCTAAACACAATCAAATAAAAACAACTATGGCAAACAACAATAAATGCAAATCACTGGATTTTAGGCTCCTGGTTTGGGACAGGCATACAACGAATGATTCTTTCTAGTAAAATCTTTTTTTTTTAAATACGTAAATCCTTATATCATCAAGTTTATAATAAAAAAAATGTAAAGGTAAATAGTACATACCGGGAAATAATTCAAAACGACGGGATTCACTAATGTTGCTATTGCGTAGTATGCTCCTGTGTTTATCCCTAAAAGTACATCCTAGAATGTTTAAAAATATATTCACTAGTCGTTTTGAATTGAATATTTTGAAAAAAACGTGAAGATTGCTTTTGATAACGGCGTTCATTTTCATCTTGGTTGTGTATTCTTTCTCGCTTTTGATACAGCTTTCATTTAGTTTTGAAGCAGATTCTTAAAGTGTGTTTACGTGCAGAAGCTTTGTTATTTTTGCTAGACACCTTTATTTAATAAAAAAAAATATAATGCATTTGTTTACGACACAAAATCCATACTTGCTTTTGACAAAATTGAATTGTTTTTCTTGTGTTATGTTGAGGCCTTTTATAGCTTGCTATGCGGTAAGGTTTTTGCTCATTGAGGAAGGCCATACGATGACATACAGTTGATTACTTTTACGTCATTTGATCTCTGATGGAAAGTTATCTCTTTAGTATGCTTACCATATCTTATATTTTAATAATTTTTTTTGTGATATATTCTATCCAGTTGTTCGGAAGTAAAAGTAAAGCACCGGCGTGTAACCTTTAAGTTTGCTGTTCGAAGAGTGACAGAAAAACCAATTTGTTTACATACCATAAGTTAATACCAGTAGAAGAAATCCTCTGTTTTTTAATAATCTCAGCAGGGATTTACCGTAGTGTTGACTGGCAGCATTTCTTACTGCTAACAACTGGGCTCTACTTGGTGGTTGTGGGGGCTCTTTCTTAAAAACTACAAAAGAAATATATGTATAGTATACATCAACTGATTTAATTAGGGATGTATTTATAACTTTTGATACTGCTTAGGCATTTTTATTATGTTGAGTTTTTTTTCAGATTGTTTATTAGTATATCTTTCTTTTTTATTTTCTTCAAAATTGTTTTTCAGGGGTTACCGTAGGATAAATTTCCTCATTGTTGATAATAACGACGTATAAATGCAACAGAGTCAATGTTATAGAAATCACGAGCATTTACTGGAAATTCTGATTGATGAATCAAATAAAAAAAAGATAATCCGTCATTGACATCGGCTTTAGCATGTTTATGCCTTACAGAAGATTCCACACGCTTTAATAAAGGAAGTCGCCGTTTTCCTTCGCAACTTAATTATAAAAAAAATACGCAGTTAATTTGTTGACGTCAGTTTATTTTCAGTCAAGTCAAGAACAAAGGTTACATCTGGATGCGTTATTATCTGCCCGTCCTATACTGTATTATATATTAACCTTGTTTTATTAATGCAATCATTCACTTAAAACTATTTGGAATACACATTTGTGTATGTAATAGACGTAAAATAAAAGGCGCAATTATAAAACTTCGATTGTATTTAATTCAAATTGGATAATTTTTCAGACGGACACATGACCTCATTTCACCTGTCCTCGTAATAATATAAACGGTAACAATTTCACTGCACCAGATGCGCGTTTCGACAATTAATGTCTCTTCAGTGATGCTCGAGACCAAAAAATTGAAAATCCAAAACCTAATACAAACATTGAAGAGATGATCAACCAAAAGCACCTGGTGTATATCCAAAAGGAATCAGAGCTTTGCACGAGGGAGATATATTCCTTAACTCAAATTGATTCCAAAATTTTATAACAGTAAATTTTAAGCAAAGCAATATCCGTGTTTTCATGCCAGTACCAAACGAAGTACTGGCTACTGGGCTGGTGATACCCTCGGGGACTAACAGCAGAGGTATCGACCAAGTGGTAGTAATAATATAAACGATACCACTTTTACTGCATCAGATGCTCATTTAGACAATTAATGTCTCTTCACTGATGCTCGATACCAAAATATTTGAAAATCCAAAGCCTAATACAAACCTTGTAAATGTTCGACAATGGCATATCAACACACACAAACACATGTACAATTAAACAACAAATAACAATGGAGTGTATTTTCAGATGTGTTTAGAGACTGTGTAACAGTGACGGAAAATAATGTTTAGATATACTTACTAACTAAAACCAATAAAAAGAGAAGCGTTGTGACGCCAGCGCCAATATAAAACAAAGTATATAAACGGCTGCTGACCAGATCTATGTCGGGACTATATTTCACCAGTAGCGGAGGAAGTAAAAATCCTACAGCTGCACCAATCTACAAATATGGCAATGAAAAAAAACAATAACCTGCTGTTTGACGTGTCATCGAATTTAAAATTTCCATGAGCAACACTACGGGTGCCTCAATTAGAGCAAGAATTGTTTACCATTTCAATATCAACTGAGATCATTCCCGCCTTTTTGTAGGGGTTCGCGGTGGTGATTAATCTTTAAATTAGTTTTCTATGTAGCATTTTATTCATTTTCTTGTCGTCGTTTTTCTTTTTTTTTTTTGTCATTTGAAAGTCGGTCTCGTGAGATTTATTGTCTCTTCGGTATCTTTGGCCACTTTTGTTATTATTCTTTTAACATCCATCCATACTTATCATAATGCATATTGAAGCAATATACACTTTTTCATGCCAGGGCCTGTTATAGTTTACTTTATGGTATTGGTTTTACTCAATGCCGTAGGTATTTTCATCATGTTCATCCTTGTCACGTGGTCTTTTGCAGAGTTTTTTCATTGACAATCATAACACATCTCCTTGCTTTATATTTCTTGAATTGATTTTCTTTAGAATACGCTTTTTCATGAATTTCCATTCATTGTGAGATAATACAGGTACAAATGTAATACCAACTCCAATATCCAATGGTAAAATTGTTAAATCAGTATTTTAAATACAAAAGTGTAAATAGCATAACTGTCAAATCAAACAGTGCAGTGTTATACACGTATAATGGCAAGCCTTCACAGTCAAACATGAGAAATTTGCATATTAAAAAGTTCATGTACTTATACTCTTTACGGAATGACTGTAGTAATATTTTCTCTGTCTTTGGAGAAGTAACATAAAAAATGTTGTGCACACTGAATAACCCGCGTAGCGCCTTATTTAAAAATATGCACCACATTTTTTAGATTATTTCGAATAGACAGAAAAAATATTACAGTCATTCCTTATAAATTGATTGATTCTAAATTCCATTTTTAAGGAGTAAATCATGAAAAAAACGTTGATGACTTCACGGTCACAATACAAAATTATGTCTCTGAGCTGATAGACAAAAAACTTTCCGCCGATCAGAAGACGTGTTACATCCAAAATTAAATTATTCAAAAATAGTTTGGATCACTGTCGATTGCTATACATACAATGCCAAATATTCCAATTTATGTACATTCAAGATCATAAGTAGGTTTTGAAAATGTGCATAAAGGGAGTGAAATAGACTGGCAACTAGTGAAAAAAAACTTACTATGCATGAGGGCAGAGATTTTGCCTTGCAACATGCCACCAACGTAATCACATCAGAGTGCTATTGCAAATATTCTTGAACATGCAGAAAGTATGGTGATATTCCTACACGGGATATTATAGATTTAACGTCCCAATTCCAATCGGACGTGACTGCGTAATTGAAAATCCTTCACAACAACTCTTTAAAATTGTGTTTACTGCCAGATGAAGCCAGGGCAATTTTAAAAAAAAATAGTAAGATTTGATGAGCAAGAAAAAGCGATAATGCGTGACGAATACATAGTATTACAAAATGACGACACTGCCTTTTAAGAAAAACATATACATACTCTAAAGATATACCCTACAAAGAACTCGATTCGGATTTAGATGATAGAGGAGGCAGCGGTTTATTCTTCATCATTAGCACTTGCAGAATAAGTCGTTTTTTAATGATAACACCATTAACCGATTTTTATACTAACCATGAGCATCACGACAGGTACCACAAGAGGAGATGATCAGTTTACCATTCCCGAACATTTTATATCATTAAGGATACACGAAACTTTAAAAGAGGTGACATAATAAACTTTAGTTTAGTTCTGTTCTTGCAAGCAGATACTCTCTACCAAAGATTTTCTGTAAAGATACACAAGCACCTGCAAATTGTATACTCTTATAGATATATTATCCCTTGTCTGTTGGCTTGGTGATGTTACGTGAATATTGAAGGTTCACGATAGGAAAAGTGAGGAAATGGTCTTTGTTGATTTGTTTCTCATGTAGGCCACTTGAACCCAGTACTTAATTCAAAACAATGTTAAATAATATACCTGGTTGCCAAATACACCTAAAGATGTTGCTGTTGATACTTGGTTTGGACCAAACCATATTGCTGCAAGTCTCGCAGGGATACCAAGTATAAAAACCTGAGCTACCGAACAAACAGACTGGCCGAACATCAATAACGCAAAACGATCGGGGCTAACACATGCTACTTTAATCCAAGCGCCAACTGCATTCAGGAAACTTCCGCAAATAATCACAACCCTAAGTCCTTTTTTGTCTAGAAGCCATGTTAATGGAAAGATTAGCGGTATATACGCTAGCATGTAGACCATAGATAGCCAATCTAGAGCAGTCTCCTGTTGAAATTTGTCCTCTGGCAAACTGGCATTGTAATAGTTGAGTAACACATCTCCTATTATGTTCAGATGTAACCATTGGAAGCTGTTGGTCAACGAAACAAATGAAAACAAAAAAAGTATAATCCAACGCCTTTTGTAGACTTGTGGTAGAATATTATCTTCGGTAACTTTCGATGTATCATCTTCGGTAACTTGCGTTGTCGGTTCCTCTTGGCCATCCATTGTACTGTAATTCAATTAGTCAGTAATTTATCATATGATAATAAGCGATTTCCTTTTTTTTTTTCATTTGCAGGGTGAAAAATAAATAAAAATGAGAATGGAAATGGGGAATGTGTCAAAGAGACAACAACCCGACCATAGAACAGACAACAGCAGAAGGTCACCAACAGGTCTTCAATGAACATACCAATTGTGTAAAGATGTTAATATCAGTGAAAATACACCTACTTCATGTAATTGCAGTAATTCCGAATACATTTATGGACCCATTTCCCATGTTATAACAGGAGATCTTAACATCGTTCAAGACCGAGAGTTAAAATCATTCCTCAGTAAAGAACCTAAATATCGTCCCCCGTCAATTATTAATTGGAATGAATGTCGTAATATCATCCACGACTCACTCCATACTTACTGTTTGAAATGGATAAAACGGGAAAAAGCTGACAAAAAATCTTTGGACTCTTTTTTTAATTCAGTAATGAACATAGTTGATATACGTATTCAACATTTTAAAGAACATTTTACTCTTAACAATAACCACAATAAACCTATTTCTCGTATCAAACATAAACTAAAAGAACTAGCCAAGGAATTTGTTTTTGTCCCGGCCGATAAAGCTGCTAATAATATTATTATTGTTTGACGTAAATTTTACATTGAGGTTCTGAAAAAAGAAATCACCAATTCACCAACATTCCAACTGACTCCATTTTCAGAAAACGACATCTGTAACAAACATAAACTTTTAGCTACCGCTTTACAAGCAGAACCAAATACAATGAAAGTCCCAACTATGTATTGGCTTCCGAAGCTACACAAAACACCTTACAAATATAGATTTATTTCGTCTTCAAGCCATTGTTCCACTACTAAATTGTCTATTCTTCTTACCAGTACACTTGGTACAATCAAAAACCTGATAATAAATTGTTCAAATAAGGCCTTCGAAAATAGTGGAATTAATTACTTTTGGAGTGTCAAAAACTCGTTGGAAGTACTTGATAAATTACATGCATATATTGGTGATTTTGAATCTGTTCAAAGCTTTGATTTTTCTACCCTATATACCACATTGCCTCACATTCTCATTAAGAAAAAATTCACACACCTAATTAAATGGGCATTTAAAAAGTCAGAATGTGAATATATATGTTCAAACTCTTTTAGGTCATTTTTTAGTAGCAATAAACAAAAAAACTATGTCAATTTGACATGCTTTGATACTATATATGCCCTTGAATTTTTACTAGATAACATTTTTGTTCGCTTTGGAGATTCCGTATATCGTCAGGTTATCGGAATTCCAATGGGGACTAACTGTGCACCACTTATTGCGGACCTTTTTTTGTATTGCTATGAGTTACAATTTATGACAAAAATCAGCAAAGACCCATCGAAACAACATCTGATACACAAATTTAATAATACTTTTAGATATGTGGATGATATTTTGGCTCTCAATAATGACGACTTCAGTATGTATACTAAAGAAATTTATCCTGTTGAACTTACTTTAAATAAAGCTAATACTAAAAATGACCACTGCCCTTTCCTCGATCTTGATATCTATATCATTAATGGAAAGCTTAATACTAAAATATATGATAAAAGAGATGATTTTTCATTTCCTATCGTTAATTATCCATTTTTAGATGGTGACGTTCCCTTGTCACCATCTTACGGTGTTTATATATCTCAACTTGTACGATTCGCTCGTGTATGTAACAATGTTTTAGATTTTAACGAGAGAAATTTATGTATTACTGAAAAATTATTACACCAGGGTTTTCGATATCACAAACTAGTCAAAACATTTACTAAATTTTATCATCGGTATAAGGACATCATTCGTAAATATAGCTCAACATGCAGACTTCTTATACGTTCAGGTATTTCACATCCAATTTTTTATGGAAATATTCTTTATAAAGCACAAAAATGTCAGTATTCACCTCTGAAGCTAACAAAACCTTTAAAAAGACTTATTAAGAAGGGATATAGTTACGATACTGTTGTCAGGTCATTAAAGATTGCATATTTTGGCGTTAATATTGATTCACTTATAGGGTCTTTGCATCGGCACTAAACACAATTATTTAAAAACCAGTTGTTGGCATGACACGGGTTATGTTCTTCTCATATATGTTATGATGGTATGATACTAAACCCCTAACGGGAAGGATTGTGCCTGATACTCATATGATGAAGACATAATCTTTCAATCAGTTTAATTGAAGTCTGGAGCTGGCATGTCAGTTAACTGCTAGTAGTCTGTTGTTATTTATGTATTATTGTCATTTTGTTTATTTTCTTTGGTTACATCTTCTGACATCGGACTCGGACTTCTCTTGAACTGAATTTTAATGTGCGTATTGTTATGCGTTTACTTTTCTACATTGGCTAGAGGTATAGGGGGAGGGTTGAGATCTCATAAACATGTTTAACCCCGCCGCATTTTTGCGCCTGTCCCAAGTCAGGAGCCTCTAGCCTTTGTAAGTCTTGTATTATTTTTAATTTTAGTTTCTTGTGTACAATTTGGAGTTTAGTATGGCGTTCATTATCACTGAACTAGTATATATATTTGTTTAGGGGCCAGCTGAAGGACGCCTCCGGGTGCGGGAATTTCTCGCTGCATTGAAGACCTGTTGGTGACCTTCTGCTGTTGTCTGTTCTATGGTCGGGTTGTTGTCTCTTTGACACATTCCCCATTTCCATTCTCAATTTTATACTAGTAATAAACTTTTACAACATACAGTCTAGATAGGCAAAAAAGGGATGTGTGAATGAAAACTGGTGTAACCCACCATAGTGTGTGTCTGTACTAAGTAAGGCTATCTGTACCATCATTATCATGATGGTGAGTTGTTTGTTCTCGATTGTCTATATGTACTTATGAGGAGTTGGGTGTTGTTGGTTTGTATGGATTTTTGTACTGTCCGATATTTTGTGGTGATTCCTTTTTCTTTTCTTTTCATGTAGTGTTTATATAGTATATAGGCGTCTGGTACCATTTCAACACGTAATATACATGTTTTTTAATAACTGTACGCTCGAGACAAAGAGTTTAAGAAACCAAATGTATCAAATAGTCTGTTTGCCAATTCCGTTATCAATCCTGTAGCTTCGAATTCATTCGTACGAGCTGTTTGCCTTATGAGAGATATACATGAGGGTCTGGATTTTGGGGGGGGGGGGGGGGGGGGGGGGGGGGGGGGGGGGGTCGGTATTTCATTTTTGTATTCTTTTTTGAGGCCATTTTTTCTCTACTCTATTCTTTATAATTTTACCCTGTTATTCAATATTCTTTATATTTCAGCATCCTATTATTCTCTCTTTCTCTTCTGTATTTTTTTATAACTTTTTTTCTATTCTCTATACTTGTTGCCTTTTATTCTACACTTATTACCGATTATTTGCAATTCTGGTGACCCCATCCAGATCCTCATACATTTTCATTGACAATTAGGAGCTAGCAGAAAAGCAATAATGTGCTTAACGTGTGCAATCTTTACGTTTTTCAAATTCATCACATGTAATCTTTTGTTAAGCTACCAATCGTGTTCTCATCAAAATGTTTAAACGCCTATACATCACGTTCAACTTATTACGCTTTGCATGGGCAAGCAGGCCATTTTATGTTAAGTTATATCATTGCATAATCTAGCATCTGAAAATTTAGTCAGAATGTATTATTTAAATCATGATCAATATTGAAAAGTTTGAGATTACATGTATACACTTCGACGGTAAAATCCTTGTAAAATTAAATCATCAAAAGCAGCTATCAGTAAATTATGATTGACAAGAAATTGAACTATAACTTTCAAATGCTCTTTTAAGTATTCTTTTTTAGCCAATAATAATTTTAGTAAGCACTTGATTCTGAAAACTAAGCATTATTTAGGTCAATTTCAAACCCGGACTCGGATATTCTGAAGTAAATATATTGTCTTTTAACCAAATTGTTCTTTTTCATGAAATATTTGTTTAATAGTTTCTCCTCTAAGATTGACGTTTGCCAATTTCATCTTTTTATACTTTGCTACTTGTATTTGTTGTAAACATACGACCTCAAGATGTCCTTCGTTTGTTTAATTTCAAGTACTGAAGATTGGATGAACGACATCGGCGGTCTCGTGGTAGAGTACTCGCATCGACTTCCGGTGGTCGATCTGAGCACACGACTTTTAAGAGTAAGACATGTCAGCTCGTAAAATCAGAAGAAAAACTGTGTCTGAGAAGGTATGCCTCCCTGAGGACTATTACTTTTATATTTTCAAATCTTATTGAAATATCATTTGCATGCAATATTTCCCACTGGACTGTTATTCGGTTGCATCATTACACAATTTGAAAGTTAGGAATTCTGCATTAATTACTAAAATATTTGTCTACTGACTAGCGTCCGGGTTTGTAATCAGCTGACGGTGTACTTGCCGTGAGCTTGCGGCCTGTTAATAAACAACACTTTTAGATAATAACGGTCTCGATTCATGACATCACATTTATTAGCGCTTTTACTACTTTGTGTACGTTGGCGCTTTTTTACTTATATTATATGCCTTACCTTTTCATTTTTATTTAACCGTCCTTATCATTTTCAAAATACACAAATACAAATGTCAGTTACATCTATTAGAATTATTCACCTACTTTTTAGTATGAAATGTCAAGCGTATAATTTGGTTGTATATTTGATGAATATTTACTTTAACAACCTTGAATGTTATGTTATTTGTGTCATTTGACGACGTATCAATTCCTGTACAAACAAACGTTTATATAAAAGGCCACAATTTAAAAGAAAACAACTTGATACAGTATATGTTAAAATTTCTAATTATCCGAATTTACCATTGATGTCAGAATTAATTTTCCGAAAATAATTAGAGTTCATCACATATGCAAGCTTATAAGCATGTCATTACTGTACTAAACATTGTGTTGTTTGACCATAACATATCTGTGTTGGTAAATGTTTTATCTACTTAGACATTTTTCTTTGATAAGATTTAGATAAATTCAATTATTGTATATAAATTTGACAGTCACATATTTAAATGACAGTTTACATTCAAGAAGGTGAAGAGAATTGAACATATATTGGTATGTCTGTTCATCGTTGGGTAAATTGACATTTTAAAAAATGTTCTTATGTAGTATTGCATAAAAATGATATTTTCTCTTTTCTAAAACGATTACAAATTGCGCCATGTTTTATTTCGTTAGTGAAAACATGGTTATAAACCCAAGGACAATGAGTAAGTAGTCCCTATTAAAACTTTTAAAAAGAGTCGGTTCTGCTATCATCCAAGAGACAGCCCTGATATTATCTATCAATCAGCATTTCCCTAACTGATGGCTTTTATATTAGTAGTGCATAATCAATTAAAATAATGGTCAAATAAATGTATGTCGGTGTGCTCAATTTTGAGATAAAACATTGGTCAAATGAAAATCGATGAAGGAACAAAGGAAAAGATCATCGATTTATAATATATAGCTTCAGGGAAAAGCCTGAGGAGTTAAATACTATTATCATAGTTAAGTTGTAAGCTGGTTCTCTCCCTTGCAATTTACGTGTATCTGAGTCACCCTTGTTAAACAGATGAAGAACAGGAACCAGTCTAGATAAATTTGTAAACTCACGAAGCAAAACAAGAAATGATTGCAACAGGGTGCTCACGGTGCTGTTACGAAGTTCCCTGAACAAAGTCCCAATAAGTATAAGCCCCTAGGGACTCCTCTATTATTCATTGTATTCATCTTGCAGAAAATATGATGGTTAAGGGGTGGAGATATCAAAAAATTACAAGATATAAGAACATTCTCATATGACAGGGGTGGGGATGACCCCTTGGCTTTAATGTATTATTCGAATCATTTTGACATAAAAATAAAAACAACAAAAACAGGAATATGTGTGGTCCAGGGTTGGGGATCTCGACAATTCACAAGATAATACAACATTATGCAAATGGCAGGGGTGACCCCTGGGAACTAATCCCACAAATCATTCAAATCATTTTGACATGACAAACAAGAATTGGTTTAAGGATGGGGCTCTCGCCGGACCATTTACTAAATACTAGAACATTTTCAAATGCCAGGTGCTGGTGGTGACCCTAAGGAACTAGCCATGTATTTCATTTAATTTATTTAATCATGTTGAACATTTTCTATTCTTTAGACTGTCCATTTTGTTTTTATTTTTGTGTGTAAATTGAAATTCAATTTAAATTTTTGTGTGAATTGAAAAATAATGTTCAAGGTCAAAGGTCAAGGTAATAAGTGATTATTGACCTTTTAACCTTGAAGTAGTCCATATGGTCCCATGATCATTACTGAAGACCCCATGTGTCTACTATCACTAACTTTTTTCACATTTGAAAATAAGATTCTAAAAAATCTCGCAGGGTTCTATACTAAAGCCCCTCCCTTATTTCGCCACCTAAAAGTACCCCCTAAATATACCTCAATGCACAAACAAAACCTGATCGCACCATTAGACATGTTTTCAGTTATAGGAACACAAGAAAAGTGTAGTTGTCTTACGGTCACCTAAATGCTGACCTTTAAGTGCGTATTAGATACGTATTGCAAAAAGAGGGGGAGTATACAAAGGGGCAACCAAAAGTCACAAGTCAATGTTTATTGTTTGTTCTTATGCTGTGCTGTTACATATACAATATTCGCACAGTGTATGAAATATAAAATTTATTTTACGAGCTTTAGAAACAGAGAGAAAAGCGAGGCTTGCCGAGCTTTTTTCTGTTTCGTAGCAACTACAAATACATTTTATATTTTCCTACACTGTACGAATATTGTTTTTATTCAATTTATATTGAACTTAAGGTTGATGACCCCTTCTGTAAGCCTGTGTATTATGGAATTTTCAAAGTGCAACAAAATCAAAACAGTGAAAATACAGAATAAAAGTGACTTGCCATTTTGTACATATATCAAAAGGAAACTGTTAAATATTGAGTCACTAAAGTCGAGAGCACCCTCTATCTTATAAGCACCGAATTGTCAAATATAGAAGTCCAAGGGGAAAGGCTGCGGATTTTTTATATAAGATTTCCTTCCATATGTTTAGCATTGAAACAACAAAAGGGTACATTAACCTTAAACGTAGAGTTTTTTCTATCCAAATCGATGAATTTGTTTTTGTATGAAATCGACATGATTAAAACCATAAAAACGCGGACCGCGATGAGGACCCTTAATTAAACTATTATGTAAACCGAAATTTGAAAAAAACCATTCGCTCGCAACAGAAGCAAGATACCAGAAGACTATACACGTACACATTACGTTTATCACTTCATGTTATCTGTCGAATGTATGTGTGTATAGTAGAATTGCGGGATAAATCATTATCAAGGTTAGGGTAGGGTTCAGCCCTTGCAAACATATTTAACGTTGCCACATTTGTATATGTGGCTGTCCCAAGTGTGGAGCCAGTAATTCAGTAGTTGTCGTGGTTCAACAATTCTTATGATGAAATGTTTTAAAAAGAAGTTATTAATGGAGAAGGTCAAATACTTTTGCTGAATATATATATTGTCGTTTTCGTTGAATTATAATAATCCTTATTATACCTCATACACATATATATAGATACATCTATAATAAGACAATTTAGTTCGTAATTTATATGAATAAAATGTAAATGTTGAGGTCATAATTGTGATCCACCATGCCATTTCCAGGCTTCTCTAGGTATATAACGTCATTGTATGGAAAAACTCCATTAACCAGGAACGTATAGTAACATCAACATGTGTTTGCATATAAGTTTATTTATATAGTGAATTTTATGTCTGGGCGCATTTAAGCATCAATATGAAATATAATCTAAAGCGATTAGTTAATACTAATTAAGGAACCAATCCCAAATAGCAACATGAACAGTTGATGAAGTTAAGACATTTTGTATGATGAAAATACTTAAAATCTCAAAAACTGGAAAATTTTAATAATAAAGCACCTTTTTCTCTAGTATTCTCTTCATTGGTGCATTGTACACATTTCTAAATGAATTTCTTTTTAAATATCAAATCATAATCCTATGCTACTAAATTATTCCCAATTTGTTTTCTCATGTTCATATCTGCCCTGATTATGTATACAACAAGTTTAGACTTTTTGTCAGATATTTGGAATCCTCTAGTTTTATCCATGTAATGCCAATAAAATAAATTGTCTGCTAACTCATAATTTTCTTTTCATAAGTTTATTATATACTGTTTAAAAAGCCATGTTTGAAAATCTTATAAAGTCCTTGATATTCTTTCATAGTTCTTGAAAATAAAAAGTTGTCAATGTTAAATGTATGAAAAATCTAGAGAGAATTATTTCCCGCCAAATTTTCAATTGCTTATATTACAAAAACAAGGACACTGACCCCTCATTTTGTTCTGCTTTTTAAGTTCCGTTATTTATATACTATCAATTTATAACAGTTTTTTAAAAAGCTTGTTATTTTGAAACAGAGGAGCAAACGTCCTTAATATCTGCCCTGATTATGTATATAACATGCATGTGATATTTTGTCGCTAGTTCTTATACTACGCAGACACTAATAAATCATTATGTGAATCCTATAATTTTACAAACAATTATTTTGGTATCCGTTATCTATAAAAGTATATTTAGCCTAGATTCTTTGATGAGTTTTTTTTGCATGACAGATAGATTTAAGATATATTTTACTTCATAAGTTGAAGCCTGGTAAAAATAATATACAAATTGAAAGTAAATCAACATTTGTAAATTTAAAACTGTTTTCAGATAGTTCCTTCAGTTCCCTCACTCTAAATTTAATTGAATGATGTTGAATTGTCGTTTCGAAGTATGTATGAAGAAGGTATACCAGTCAAATTTGGTTTTATTTTTTTGCTGACAAGTACATTAATCGTGAAGAAGTTTCATAAATTGATAAACAAGTTTTTAATGGTTTAAAATTCAAAATCTATAGAGTTTTCATATTAAAAACCATTAAAATTGGATCATTGTAACAAATGCACCGTATCAAATGCATATATGAAATGTAATTTTAAATTACATCGAAAAATGTGACGCAAACACATGCCACAATATTACATAACTCATCTAACTAAAATAAGATGAAAGGAATGCTTTCTATTATGGAAAGCCAACGGGGTCCAAATTCTTGTTTCGTAACTTGTCAATTTGTAACTTGTCTCTTTGTAATTTCAAAATTCTTACTTCGTAAATTGTCAATTTGTAACTTGTATCTTTGTAATTTGAAAATTCGTAATTCATAAAATTGTTAATTTGTAAGTTGTAACTGTGTGATTTCAAAATTCTTTATTGGTAAATTGTCAACTTGTATATTGATGTTTTGTAACTTGTCGATTCGTAAATTGTCAATTTGTATATTTTTGTTTTGTAACTTGTCGATTTTTATATTGATGTTTTGTAACTTGTCGATTCGTTAAATGTTGATTTGTAAATTGTCAATTTGTATGTTGATGTTTTGTACATTTGTAACTTGTCGATTCGTTAAATGTCGATTTGTTAATTGTCTTTCTGATAGTTGTATTATGCTAACGATCATTATGACGACAGATGGCGCTCGGTTTCCTCTTCGGTGTATAAGCCTCCTATAAGTAGGAGCACTTCCATGTGGAG